CAGTATATTATAATATAATTTAAAGAAAATAATAAATATATAATTATATATATATTATATTATATATATTATTTTAATATTTTAAAATATATTGAAATATATTGCAATATATTGCAAGAGTTAAATTCTAGGTAAATTGATAGATCCAGATATGGTCTAGTTTTCTAACATTCAAGTAACACCAATATATTGCAATATAATTTAAAGAATATAATAAATATTTATATAAATATTTTAAAATATATTGCAGTATACTGCAAGGGTTAAATTCCAGGTAAAAATGGATAGATCCAGATATCTACCTTTAGGTCTAGTTTTCTAACATTCAAGTAACACCAATATATTGCAATATAATTTAAAGAATATAATAAATATTTATATAAATATTTTAAAATATATTGCAGTATACTGCAAGGGTTAAATTCCAGGTAAAAATGGATAGATCCAGATATCTACCTTTAGGTCTAGTTTTCTAACATTCAAGTAACACCAATATATTGCAATATAATTTAAAGAATATAATAAATATACAATTATATAAATATATATATATTTTTTAATATTTTAAAATATATTGCAGTATATTGCAAGGGTTAAATTCCGGGTAAATGGATAGATCCAGATATAGTCTGGTTTTCTAACATTCAAGTTCCCTTTGTTTATCGAATACAGAAGAAACTGCTAATCGAGTGAGAAGTTCATTACACAGGAAAATGGCGTATCATGTAGCTATGCGAAATTTGATACTAGTCGGTTATACAAGTACTTGAGTAAACTTCGATTAAACAGCAATTTGAACTTTTAGAATGATATTCCAGGTACATTTCGAAGCAACGTTTAAACAAAGTTGTTCGAGCTCTCATTATCAATTCGGTTAAAGCTGTTAGCCTGTAACAATCGCGTTTAACTTAAATCTGAGATACGCAGTCGATGATGTGCCTTTGTGCAAAATTTCGCTTCTGACTTCGTCTTCGATAATTTTGCTAAACTCTCTTGAAACATTTGTTATTACGAAACTGTATTATTCGCGGTGCAAGAAGTATTTTTAGACGGAAAAGTATCTCTATGTACAAAAGACTAATTCACTTGTACCTTGAAAAATGTTTTTGTTCCCATAAATCTCTGTGAAAATAGTTTCCATGCTTTGGTGAACAAATTTCAAATAAAAGCAATACAGCAATCGATAGGAGCGAAAATTGATAGGCGTAGTTCAACAGTGGCCCAGTTATCGAAAATCTTTGGCACGATACAGCAAAGTGATAAATGGCGGAAGATTAGCCGAAAGAACCGGTAATTTCATTTTCCGCCGCAAAATAGTACGAGAAGAACGTTAAGCGAATGAAATTCTTTATTTCGATAGTTTAGGGATTGTAATACTGTTCCTCGATTTTCTAACAATTTCTGCTTAATTTGCTAATTGAGTCTGTTCAAGTAACTAACATATTTTCCATTTTTCAATTCTATATAATAGTTTACAATTCAAATAGTTTTAGGATTTAATTAAAAGGGTTCACTTGACCCAAAAATCGACAGCTATTATAATATATAATTAAAAAACATATATTCATATATATGTTATAATATATAAGATAATTATAATATACTATATAAGATATATATATATATATATATATATATATATATATATATATNTATATATATATGTTATAATATATAAGATAATTATAATATACTATATAAGATATATATATATATATATATATATATATATATATATATATAAAATATAAAAAATATATATATATAATATAATATAAATATA